AAAACCGAGTGTGTTGTGAAGTTTTCGGTGAACTAGAAAACCGATTGTGAGGAGTGACGTTGATCGGTGAGCGTTGAAAACCGACACTGTGAGGTGTAAACGTTATTCGGATGAGCGTAGAAAACCCGGTTGTGATAGTGGATTTCTCCCCGGGAGTGGGGAGCGGAGACGTAGGACGGAAGGTCCGAACTCCGTGATCATTTGAGTGTGTTTGAGTTTATCATTGGCGCATTTGCTTTTGCATTTATCTTATATCGCCAATTGTGCATTGCTCATTTATTTCATCCACTATCTAGTTCATTTTGTTTACCCTTGTGTTAGTTTACATATCCTTGCATATATCATATTGTATATCTCTTTGGTAGGATATATCATCTTGTGTTAGTTTTATATCCTTGCATATATCTCATAGCATATCTCATTGCTAGGATATATCCCTTAGTTCATATTGCTTATCCTAGCTCATATAACTTGTTATATTTCATACTTGCTAGGATAACTTATTAATTAATTTTAATTGGCATTTAATCGGATTAGATTAGCATAAGACCCTAATCACCCCCCCCCTCTAGGGTCTAACACCAATTTCCTAAAAAGCATTAAATTATGGTTAGGAAGAGGGTTAACAGCTAAATGATTCAAGTTAACATCTAAAAGCTGAAACATAACATATTCTATTTGGAATAACAACTTATAGCAGAGGGTTAAAAGCTAAATCATAAAAGTTGACATCTAAACTCTGAAACATAACAAGCTACTAGTAACGTTTACAACTTATACAAGAAGGTTAACAGATAGATATTAAATGTTAACATCTTAAAAATGTAAAATAACATATTCCTTTCTAACATTCGCAACTTATAGCAGAGGGTTAACAACTAAATTAACAAAATTATAGTAAAAATATTAACATTGATCAATACTTACTGGCTATATTTCTGCTTGCAATAATGCGCGAGATATTTGTTCTCCTCAGCTGTGAGTTTAGCTACCACATTGCTTGATATTCTGTAGTTATGTATAAAAGCCATTGTGCTATCCAACACTCGTAAGCTAAACCTACCAACCTCAGGAATCCCCTCATTCATCTTCTTTAAAGCAGCACGATCAACATCTGTCAAATACGTGTTTTTTAACACGTCCCATTTGGCAACACTGTCATCATAGTAAATTGTTATTTCATCTACCTTGTCAGTGACAACAAGTGGTTCATATTTGTGCTCCCCTTTCTTAGATTTTGGTTTCTTTTGTTCGGTGAATGGCGTCTTAACCAGTTATGATCTCTTGGTAGCACTTGTGCTTGGAGCTCTACTCCTATAACTCACATACTTTTTACTGATCGTCTTCTTCGTCCTCTTTATGAAATTGCAGAGTAGGATGTCCTCAATCCCACCTACCCCTGCTGCGTATGCACATCCCCAGTCTGAAGTTGTGTATCCTCCTCCACATCAGCTCTTTTCTCATTCACGCTCGTCCTTTTCATTCTTATTTACTTTGTCTCTCACTTCTTCATTTCCACTAAAATGCTCCTGAAGGTTACCCTCTTCATAATTAGGCATGAACTTATCATCAAAGAAATCTTTATCGTCATCATGCCAGTCAGCTTCATCCATGGTTAGCTTTTCTTTCTTTTACTGTGCAATAAACTTCTTCACATTTTCCTTTATAACTTCAAGATCTATTATGTCACTAAATCCATTGAATCCTTTAACTTTTTCATTAAGCCTACGAATTTCATTCATAAAGGTTTGACAATACAATTTCTTTGAGTGTCTCAGTGCATGACATATTCTCTGATTTAGTTTAGCAGCATTTCTCTAGAATTTGAGCTGCTCCTAAAATGGTAACTCCTTAATCTCATATTCCCTTTGAATAGCATCATCAATAGCGTTTGATATAATCTGTAATTTATTAAAAAAGAAAATAGTTAACAATTACTTATAAAGGTTAACAGCTAAAGGCCTACAGTTAACACATACTACTTAAATCCAGACAAATACTAGATACAATTCACATATACGTGGTAATTATTAACATGCAATCAAGTAACATTAACATCCTTTCATCAAAGCTAATAGTTTGTCTGATATGCTTAATACTTAAAATGACAAACTTAATATACACTGGTTTAGATCTTACCAAACCTGTTGATGATCTCTTCTTTTCTTCCCTCTTTTCTTCCTTCTTTTCTTCCCTCTTTTCTTCCTTCTTTTCTTCTCCAGTCTATTTCCTCCTATCAGCTTTCTTCTCCTTGATAACTTTTTTCGGAGAAGGTGGTATCTGATGCTTCTTTACTAGGAGTGGTAAAATCCCTTTTCTTCTATTCCTTAATGAACCATCTTCCCTCATATTGGCCTTCTGAGTGGATATTTTTTAACCCATGGGCCAAATTCAGTTATCGGTTTTTGTACTACAGCAATGCTAGCTTTTTTAGTTTTTACAACAATTGTGTCCTTTCGAAGAGATCCAAACTTCTCTCTAATGATCACCCAGTTAGTGAGTGGTGGCTTGAATCTATTGCTCATGACATATTTTTTAATCCATGTCATTTCGTAGTACCATAGTTGCAAATAAATTGTTCAAATTAATCAGTTAATATGCACTACTAATCTTTTTAACATGAATATAGTTAATAGAACTAAACTAAAATATACTGAAATATATTTAACAGAACTAAACTAAAATATAATTAACACTAACCTCACAAACCTTAACACTAACCTTAATATAGTTAACATGAACTAGTTAATATTAATTACCTTTAACTTTAGTTGATAGAATACATATAAATGTTCACAGGTTAACCATAACAATAAAAAAGTTAATACAACTTACAACAATCAAAGACATGCATCCAAGCACATGTGAAACCCCTGGTTTGTTCAGACATTCCCTAGCAATCTTAATTCCTTTTCTTCGTCTGGTCATAAATGTATTTCCCCCAGGCCACATTCTTTACTCTTTCAATGCAATCAACATATTTGAACAAGAGCCTAGGGATTCCTTGGACATTGCTAGGGCACCAAATCATCGAACATTGATAAAGAATTTGTAGAAACACAAAATCTTCAATATCCTTCTTCTTTTTTGATTCAACAAGAGATTCTAGTAGCCCTTCCACATATTTTCGCATATTCTTTGGTGATTCTTTTTCATTTCTAGTAAATTGCTCAGCAAAATACTCCATCCAAATCCTAGTGTAGGGATCTTTATTGCTGTAAATTATTTCCCTGTCAATTGGGAAACCAGTGTGTTCATGAACCTAGTCCAAATTAAAATTAACTATCATTTATCTCCCACTTTCAACATCGGGCAGAGCAAACATCACTTCATCTCCTACATAGTGACTCAAAACAAGTTCAAATGTGGGTCGATCTACTGTTGGGGGACCAAATATTACATAATGCTCAAATGTGCACCCTTGGTGTGCATCCCAGTGACACTGTCTCATTCTCGGTTCAAGTACTTTCTTAAAATTATAATATGCGCTGAAACTAGCGGTAGGTCTAATTTCATCAGCATCACTAGACTTTTTCCTATAGTGAAATTTAACATTTAACATCAATCTATCTAAACTTAACATCCAATAGCCAATAGTAACAACCAACAATGAAATGTAACAGTTACGTTATACACCTTAACAATCATTCACTAGACTTGTTATCGAACAATAAAACTTAATGCATAATGTGTAAAGTCAGGTATCAGATACCAATATCATTAACCAATGTCCAGAGTTAACAGTTTATAAGAAACGTTAGTAGGTTATAACAAAACGTACAGCCAATCATTCATTTCTAACATTAATATGTTATATTTCACAGATCCATGCATATAGTTCACAACACACCAACATTAATCTGTAACATCAATCTATCTAAATTGGAAAATTTAACGCCAACTTACTTCTTTCTGAATTTCTTTAATTCCTGTTTTAAACTTGGAATTTTTCTTTTTCTTGGTAACCGCTTTTGCATGTGCAACAAGGTCTGGGTGGCTTCATCAGTGTTGCCATTCCTTGATGATGACGCATGGGTGGACGAAGACTTGGAGGGGGAGGGAGATGAGAGAGCAGATGGTCCATGATCGGTCTTAGACGACAAAGGGGGTACAATTCTTGGAAGGCGAGGGGGATCTTTACCAGTCGACGACAGTCGACGTCGGCGAGGGGGGGTCTTTAACGGTGGTCGAAGGCGAGTCTTGTCGCTTGTCATTCATCGGTGCAGGTTCCTGCTCTTACAGCGACGGAGAAGTGAACAACTTTGTATTCATCGTCTTTTATTAATGAAGTTGGGGAATCTGGGTTCGCCGTTGATTTTTCGGCCATTTTCTGCCGATTGTGACAAAACCCTAGAGTGGAGATTTAGGAATTTCGCTAGCTACTGTTAACCATAGAGAGAGAGATAGAGTGCGGGAGGGAGGGAGGTGGGGGGAGAGAGAGAGAGAGAGAGAGAGAGAGAGAGAGAGAGAGAGAGAGAGTGGCGGGCGCGCTTACCAAAATCGGGGCACTATAGCGGTAACCGGTTAGGGATAGAATATGGTTTAAAAAAATTCTCTCAAGTTGCTGAGTTGGCGAGGCTGAAACGAAATTTGGGCACTGTAGCGGTAACCGGTTAGGGATAGAATAGGGTTTAAAAAAATTCTCTCAAGTTGCTGAGTTGGTAGGGCTGAAACAAAAATTTATAACGTATTTTGGGTTTATACACATGGGTAAAAGTAAATGGGGCTGCTACACATGACTTTTCTAGATTTGGAGCGTTGAAGCAATTTTCCTAGAATTTTCAGTCTTAATAAAAGTGAAAATATGTTGCTCATGATGAGTTGTACGTGGAAGTGTAATAACTAGCGACAACAGGTGTTTCTTCTAGTTTTCTATTTCTTCGCTGCGAGGATTGCCGCAAAGTCGGCCCACTTCATTTGAGCCCACAGTAAACTATAAGCCCGCAAACTCAAATAAATAAAAATAAACAGGCCCAAGTTATTTAGAGGGAACCTTCTAATTTTCCCTCGTCACATCGCGCGGACGAAAAGATGCTGAGACGAGAACTAAGTTCTCTTTCTTCATCGTCGAGTTCTAGGGTTTTACATCAACTTCTTCGATCTCAAAATCACAGGTAACGATAATAATAAAATAACATTTTATTATCATATCAGATTCTTTGTAATGACGAGAGATTTGGTCTTGTTTCAGATTCTCGTCGTCTTCAACGGAGGGGATCGGAGGCCATGCGAGCAGCAAGGGGAGCAGATCATTGCTACGGCGGCGAGCGATTCCGATCGTACTTCTGAGCGTCACCGGAGGATTCGCCCTCAGCGCTCTCAACGATCTTGCCATCTTTCATGGCTGCAGCAGGTACAATTAGATCACCATGTTTAACGATGGATTTTTTTTTTTGTGATATTTGAATGGTTTTTAGCAATTTTATGTATTTTTTTAAGCTGCAAAAAAATTATGAACCTTGATTCAAACTTTCTCTGTTTGAATTACAAAGTTAGACACATTCTATTGTTCAGTGTCGGATCTATTTAACTAAAAACAAAAGCGTAATGTTATAGAACTGTAGTACCTGATGGGAATGCTAATTCAGTACACTTTACAAAACTAAGCATTTTCACTAATGAATTACTTAAATGGGCTAAAAATTCAAACGGGCTGCAAATTGTTTAGTGATTATATAGATAAGGGGCTTAAATATTTTAAAAACTTTGTGCCGCTGGGTGTGTAGTGTGCTGTGGGGGGCGGTGGGAGCGGCTGGGGTGGTCTGTCTGACAACTTGTGTACGCGCACGTTGGTGTGTTTTTTGGGGGGGCGTTGAAGGAGCGAGTGGGGGGCCCAGGGCATATCTATGCTTGAAAGAACTCTAAAGGAAATTTCATATTGTTGGGGGTGCAACTGGCCTCCTAACTCATATCATAAAGTAATTCCATCTTGCTATTGATGACGATTCATGGCCTTAAAGAGGAGCTCAACTGTCCATGTATCTGATAATTAATTAAAGATGTTAATATCACAAGGCATCTGAAAACACATAGATTGATCATCTAATTTAGTTTGCCACAAGATCAGCTATTTGGAAATGGGTTTAATCTGCCTCTTTCGTTTTATATTTGCTTCTGTGTTGGATGCAGTTCCCTTTTTATGACATTCATACTCTTTAGTTGCACGATCTTAAGGTAATGAGGGTCTTTCTACAAGAGAAAATGAAAACTCCATCCAATATTTTCTATAGCTAGGAATTTGGCAATGAATTGGATGGTTTGACATTACATTAATGCCTCTATTATTATTTTTAGTCAAATACTTAATAGATACCCGTGCTCCATGTTAGTTCCCATTTTGATGAAAAGGCTCAGGTGATGGTCATGATTGGGGATCTTAGGTCATGTCGACCCATGTCCTAATCTTGGTACTAAAGGTTCTGATACTTGCTTACAACAGTATGGTGACCTTGTATAATCAAAAACTGTTGCAGGATACATCAGACTAATGGCATGACATAGTCGTGCATTAGAAGTCAATATGCAATAAATACTGATGCATGCTTATGCTAATATACACATTCAATTCTATAGTTTGGTAAGATATATATAGGATGATCCCGTTTAATTGTTGTAATGTAAATGTTGTGAAGTGAAGAAACAGTTCAACTAAACCTCTGTGTTTGTTGTCCTTTCAGTAAGGCAATTGAAAAGGCTAGTCAGAACGAGAAGATTGTAGAAGCTCTTGGTGAGCCAATTGTAAGAGGCCCATGGTATGATGCTACTCTTGCAGTTGGTGTTAGGAGGAACACAGTTTCTTGCACATTTCCAGTATTTGGACCTCAAGGATCTGGCGTCTTCCAATTGAAGGCTGTTCGCACTGGAGGTCAGTCCCAGTCTTAATTAACATTGTGAGTTTCAGCTTATCTAGTGTCTTCTTATCTAAGTCAAATCTATTATATTCTTTTAATATAAGATAGTCTATTATTTTATCTTCACTTCGCTGTGCAATTTGCTCTATATTTTGTAGAGATTAAAGTATTCACCTCGTCTTGCAATTAATTTTAGTTACAGAATAATAGCAGTTGATGGTTGTTCTTCAATTTCAATCTTTCTATGATTGATTGGATGCTGTCATAATATGTAGTTCTCCAATTTTGCTAAGCAGTAACAATGTCTATTATAGATCAGTTTACTTTAGATTTTCTCTGAATTCATACTGTTGTTTGTTTTTTCATGTTTCTCTTTTAAATATTGATGAACAAAAGAAAACATTTTTTTTAATTGACAAAGTCTCAAAGTATCATCACTGTTTAGCCTTGTTCGGACAACCTGACTATCGTGTGACTATTTTTAGGCAACTATGCTAGTCAACTATTTGCAGTGTAACTTTATGTATTAGTATATTTTTGTGATGGAGTGCCACATCCATTTCCCAACTTAACAAGTAACGAATATGTTTTGTTTCTAGCTTACATTTTAAGCTTGTTTGTTTCATATCAGTATGTATATGTGGTATTATTCTTGAGGCTTATATATTCTTTTGAATCTTTGAAAATCGTGAACTGGATTTCTTGCAAAAAGGAAGTGTATATGAAGACCTAATGAATTAATTGAACATTGCAAGACGTCTGAGAATTTAACACTCATTGGTGGAGTAATCCATGGTAGATATCTTGATTTTGCAGTTGGAAAATCGTTGTGATGACTAGTTTATATGCTTGTCATGAAATCCCCAAGTTGCTATGACTCTTGAGTGGTTCCCTTTCTATTCCTTCAAATTGATATTTCTAATTAGTCATGTATGACCAATCCATTCTTGTTATGATAAAAACTGCAATGGTTTCATATGTTTCATTAATATATTTTGACTTATCTTTATACTGTTTGTTAAATCAACCTGGTTTTGTAAATTAGTGATTCTAAATCTACGTAGTCTATTGTGGATTAGTGATTCATTTATCTTTCCTTTTGTTGCTCTTAGATGTTTTCTTGTTGTCATCTTTGTCATGGTTGTATTTAAGCGTTTTCCTAACGCATTTTTTTCTTGTCACGCCCTGGCCCTGCAAGCCCATTGCGCGATGTAAGCCCTAAGACCCACTGAGTGCAACACATGGTTTGGCTCAATTCACTGTCAAAATTGATTAGTCAATGTTGCACTTGACTCATTGAACTTAACATTATAAACTGTTCAATTACTCAATTAATATCTGATGTGAGACTAAATCTTGGGGTATCACAATCAGCCCACCTTAATTATGAGATGTTCTCGTCGTGGCATGACAATTGGTCCATTCCAGCGTCACCACCAGACAATTTGGACTGTAGAGATAGCCTCTCCAGGCTTCTAGAGGTGGCTCCCACTATATTCACGCAGTGTAGCACTTAGTCTCGCATAACACTTAGTTTCACATTTCTGGCTGACTGGCTGGCTAACTACTCTGATACCATTTATCACGCCCTGGGCTCGAGAGCGCGTTGGCGCGATGTAAGCCTTGGGACCTAGACAACATGTTGTTTAGCTCAATCCACTGTCAAAATTGCATAGTTAATGTTGCACTTAACTACTTGGACTTACACTATAAACCATTCAAGCACTTGATCAATATCCGATGGGGGCTAAATCTTGGGTATCACAGTTCTTAGGTTATCATACTTTCTTTCTGTGCTTATCAAGTTTTCTAAACGTATCCAGAATTTTGATTATAACACTTAGCTGTATTACTGCTGACCATCAAACTTGAGAGTTGAGATTACACGGCCATTCAGGAAATCACATATGCGCCTGTTTATAGTAGTTAACTTCTCTTTTAGCATAACCCACTATCTCGATGGGTACCATTTTTGTTGAAATTTTTACTTGAGTTCTACCCTTCTGGTTATTGAATGACATTTGCCTTCATCATGCTCTACGTGCTCTGAAAATTAGATAAAACAGAGAAACATGTGATGCAATTAAAATTGTCTTTACATTCTTGGTGATCCAAGGTCCTTGAATCCAAAGTTTCTCTTGCTTGATATTACTTCCCAGGCCGAAATAGTAAAGAGGCAGGGGAGGATCTTTTTATTCTTTGGGGGTCAGGAATTTCCTGTGGCATATTATCTTGTCATGAATGTATCCAACAGAGTAGTGACACGTTAAATAGCTTTAAGTGGAGAAAAGCTTGGTGATATAGTCTTCGTATTGTTGTTAATACTAACTTATAAAGTGATATTTTTTTTAAATATTATTTTACAAACCAATATAGCCAACTAGAGGGGCATATTGAATAGTTCACAATATTGTTTTTCACCCTTATCAAGCTGACATCAATTGATTGTTAACACTCCACAAGTTAATGTTTCCCACTGTTTTTGAGAAGCTCTCTAGTCTCTATGAATACAGTCTAATACTTTCAATATTCTGCACTATTTTTGCTTAGAATTATTAGCATATTGGACATACTCTATCAGTCCATTGCTTACATTACTTCAATCTGATGCTCTTCATATCATTAGAAATCTCAAAGCCTGATACAAGTGTTAAAATTTCATCCATTTTGTAAACATGAATAATGATTACATCTCTCTTCTGCTGCAGAAGACAGTTTGTTTTCCTTCTTACGGCATCATGACTGGGACATTCTTGTCATGGAAGCTCAACTCCATGTCCCTAAGGAAGGTGATAAACCCCAGAATTCCCATGTAAGTCTTACAGACGTCATTTCTCCTGCTGGCCAACCAGAATGCAAAGAATGCAGGTCATCAAACTCTGGAGCCCTTGAGAAGTGAACAATATGCCCTGCAAAGACAGCTCATCTTCTTTGCTTTCTTGAAATTGTGCAAGTCTTTAATTCATTTCTTTATTAAAACTTTGAAAGTGCCATAAAAAGGGTGGAAAAAGAAGTAGCGAAATAATGACACTGATGGTGGGTTCTGGACTAAATTCATTCTTGAATGGAAAACAAATTCTAACCCTAACCCACCTGACAAACAATTTGAATTGTAAGAAACTACAGATCTGGTGTGTTTTTAGACATTTGAGAAGTCAAATATGTTCATTTTGGAATTTATTAAATTCATTTTTGAATGGAAAGGAAAGAAATTTACTGCTGTGATGTTTATATGTCTTGTCATTACTTTCTTCTTCTCCTTTCCAAATATAAACCAACCAAGAGAAATATTTTGGTTGTTCATTATGTTGGGTCTAATCTTACTTGAGTAATATGTATAGTAGGAAAGGACTGCAAGAAAGACCATGGAGATGACAGGTATGCTTCATTTTCTCTGCTGTTTTCTCTGTTTAAATACAGTTTCTTATGATTAGTTATTAGTTGTGAATAACAAGTGGAACTCGTTTGCGTAGAAGATTTTCTGTGAGCACCTTATGTAATATTTATCAAAAGAAAAAAACAAACAGTTTAGCTAGAACTTATGATTGCTTTCTCTTGATGTGTCATGACAAATAGGAAGGGGGAAAAAAGAGGAATACTCGATAGAAAAGAGAAAAAAAATTTATCAAACTGGTTATGGTGATTCATGCCATGTTATCAGTATTAGAGTGTATGCATTTGTTGCAGTAATTAACTGGGCCTTGTCTGCTTCTTATTCGGCATTCTTGTTTCTTCTAGGTGAACTGTAAACAGTACAACGTAGTTCATGACTTCATTCTTAAAACTACCATTGTAAATCACTGAATCATTTTCATTGACTGTGATTATTCAACATGATCGTCAGCTCGTCTGAAGCTAATCCTCTTGTAATGCTTTACCAAAGTTAGTTGTTATTAAGAATTACGAAAATATTTGGAAAGAGCATAATGGATGCATCAATTGCTTGTATAGGCCTTGCTTTTTGTATCATGTTTATTTTTCATATAGAATTATAAATGTTGCTCGTTAGATACTGTAGCTACAATTATGAAGTCAATATGTTAGCTCTCCTAATACAGATATTATCGACTTTGAATTTGGTGCCATTACTTCCTAATCTTTAGGGAGGATTATTCACTTGGATTTGTGCTTTATTGGTTCCCTTGATTTGTTGGAAGTGATTGAAGAAGACAGCTATCCGTTGAGGTAGTTCCAGTCACAAAGAATTAAATTTTGATGTCTGAATTATTACAAAGCATTCACACTTGTTGAAGCGCACCTGTGCCCTCTCTATTTTATCAAAAAAGCGTTAAAGTTTTTAAAAAAGATTTCTTGGTTGTATTACATCCTGAAAATATTTTGCTGTCACCATGCACTTGAACTGTGTCTGTAAGCAACTGTGGTCAAGGTTGCATTTGTTGAAGGTTATGAGTTGTAATTGAGTTATATCCTCATGTGATGCGCAACATCTTGTGGATGGACCAGTGGTTCTATTGTGATCAGTAACACAATTCTTCAACTAAGAGGCAGCTACAGCTTAATGTTTGATCAAAATTGCTTGAGTAGCTAAGAACTAAATTGTTTTCTTCTGTACTTATTTCCTTTTATGTTTAGATTCAGCATTGTACTAAATTATCAAGAGGAATGAAGG